TCCCTTTCACCCACACACCTGCCTCCCCTCCACCATGTCTTACTGGTGGCCAGCCTTTTCACCCACTATCATTCCTCAGGCTTACAGTGTTCACTGCAATAGTCTTTCATGTGACAAACGTGGGATGAGTCTGCATGTGTGTTTTTGTCATCTTAAGGGCTGTATTTGCATGTTGCTGTGTGGGGTACAAGTACAGGCCTTTGCTGCTACCAGTTTGATGTGAATGTCTGTGAGGCTTTGCTCTTTTCAGACATGCCTAACACTGGCAGTTGAAGTTTGTGTGTGTGTGTGTGTGTGCGTGAGCCTGCCTGCCTTCTAGCGCCTCAATAGAGACTGACGGCCCTTGACACCTGCCATTTGGACGCTTTTCTCTGTGAAAAATGTCATCGTCTTTAGACCCGACATGCATGTGTGTGTGTATTTGTGTGAATGAGGGAGAGATATGGCACATCTGAATTCTTCTCCCTGAGGTCAAACTTTGCAGCTGACTGAACAATGGATTTAAGCAGTTTGAGCAGCCTAGACAGAGGAACTTGGCAAGTGTGGCGTATATGTGCGTGCTGCATGTATATACATACTGGTATGTATATATTCACCATTCACTAATACACACACACACACACCAAGATTTGGAAGTTTGTGTTGGACACTTGCCTTGATGAGAGAAAGCAAAGTGAAAATTACCCATATTTGTCCTGACTGACTGTGTGTGTGTATTATATATATAATATATATTATATTTATTTATTTATTTATTAGATTTATTTATTTATTTCTCTTTAACACAAACCGAAATGTGGGAAACGGTGAGACATCATAAGTTGTTCAATTTACAGTAGTTACAGAGTTTGACTTATAGGTTGTATTTTTTAGCATTATTAATTTGGAATACCTTCAAAATAAAATATTTAATAATATTTTTGAATTTATAGATAACCGAAATATCAGATTTACATCAGCATAGAGTTTACTCCTATTATTGATGCTGTCTGTGACTGCCTGAAGTAGACTAAACAATAACAGATGGTTTGCGTCTTTGTTGGTGATTAGTTTTGACATGTTTGTTGAAGCTTTAGGTCTTATTTGGGGGATCTTTCTATTTTAAGCCTGGACCCATTCATGTGTCAGTCAAAAGATATTTTGGTGGTATGTTTGAGATAGTTTTTCTGTGGGAAAAAAAAAGTTACATTGATTAAGGCCAAGGCTTATGCATTGGTTCTTCATAAGTCTACGTTCACTCTGTTCCATTTATGTGTAATAAAAACAGTAAATTAGATGTGGTCCAGGCGTAAGAGCAGTCTGACAGCTGGAATGCCTGTGATTTGATTCGACTTCCCCACCCCACCTTCTCCAGTGTCCTTGGACAAGATCTTTCTATTTAACCCCAGTTCACCCTGATCTGACAATCAGTGTGCAAGTGTGTACGTAAATAGTTGAATGTGGCTTTTGATGCAAAAGCATTTCGAATGATCTTAAACAAGACTTTATCAACGTGCTGTATTTGCCATTAACTTGTAATTTTTTTTGTCTTATATGTGCCCAAATTAAAAAAGGAGTGCCGATAAATTTGACACATGTTTGCAACTACAGGGTACCAGATCAATTCCCCTTTTCTTGTGTTTTTTTTACATGTTGTTACATACCAGTGGCTCCTGGCAAAGGGTAGGATAGGAAGGAGCTGAAGCTTTTCTGTCTAACATGATATGTTGGAAAAAGAAAAAAAATGTACAAGCATAAGAGAATTTATTTTATTTAAAAAATGTGTGGGTGCACTTTGTTAATAATTAGGTGAATGTAAGTGCTTCAAAGCTTTCTAACCATTTTAATGTAAATTTTTATTATTTATTGATTTGTTCACTTTTTACGGACGTTTTATAAACCTATTTGAGGAGAAAGGGGTTTTATTAGGGATGCACAATATTATCGGCATGGTATCGGTATCGGCCGATATCAGCGATAAAGTTAATTAACAGACATTGGCCATTACATCAGAATAATTCACCAATATAAAAGGCACTGTTTTTTAAAATATATTATATATTTATATAGTGTTACATCATTTTCAGCCCCATTTTTGGCATCTGCAATTGGTAGCAGGCCAAACTGATGAAGCCCATGCAGAATAACAGGTCTCTCTGGTAAATGAGTCCTTGAGGCTCAATGGGAACTAACCTGTATAAATAAAGGTTGAATGAAAAAGAATAATGTAGTATTTTAATTCCACAGCAGAGAAAGCTATGTAGTTTCTGTAAGTAGGTCTAGGAAAAAATATATCGGTATTGATATTGGTTATCGGTCAAATAAGTTTTAACATATCGGATATCGGCCAAAAATCTAATATCTTGTATCCCTAGGTTGTATGAAAATAAAATGAACTTAGTGTTGTATTAAAGCTATGTTGGCAAAATGTTAAAGACGTGTATTGCTCAACTGTATAAAATGCATTTGTTTTTGTCCATTGCTAATATACATATAACACAACTTTACACAGTTTCTCTGTGTGAAACCTTGGATAACTTGAGGTATTAAGTGGGCATTTATGATCTTTTCTTATTAGTTTTTGCTATATTTCCAATTATTTCCAACTTTTTTGTTGTTGTTAGGATAATATTGCCCTTTTTTCCCCTGCTGAACCACTGAACTGCTTTGAATTTATTCATTGAGACCCTGAAGGCAGTAATGAGGTATCAAAGTGTGTATCCATCTCCTTGTTCTGTTGCGATTCTTTAGGGGCAGTCATTATGTGTCTGGTTTTGTGTGTCTTTAGTATGAGTACTGGGTGGAGATAGGAGAACCTGTTTGTGACTTTGCCCCAGGGAGGGACAGGGCTGAAGCCAGACTTGTGTTTATGTGTCCATACAGTTAAGACAGCAAATGAAGACACAAAGAAATGAAAAGCCCACATGACCAGGAGTTACTGCCTTACTCCAGGAGGCAAGCTGTGCCTTTGGATCTAAAAGTGTGTCTGGAAATGCATTGGCCGTCCAATCGCAGACGACCTTCTGTTGTATGCTAGGGTGATACCCTCACTATGGTGACAGTCATGGAGGCTGTGGCAATGAGGGCTCCGAGCTGTATCCATGACACTGCTGTTACAGAGGTCCCCCAGCAGTATCCTTAATTAAGTTAGATGTGATAGGGGTTGTTGGACACTCTTTTTTTTTTTTTCCCATTCATGCTTGATTATATCAAATCTTAAATTTATTGTTGCCCCATCTCTACTTTTTTTCTATCTTTGTCTATTTTTTTGCTACTTTTTAAATACTGCCTAACTTTTTGCAGTGTTATTAACAATATTAAAATGTTATTTATAATGTGGAAAAAAGGAGGTTGTGGATGTTTGGGTAGAGTGGGCATCATTGTGTATTATGTAAGAAATTAATATATCTCCTGCCGCTATGTGTTTGTACATATGTCTCTTTGCATTAGGCACAGCGTATCAGACTAATGACCAGCGTTGCTTTGGCCTCCTTGAAGGTCATGTGCCAGTGCTCGTTAGCAGTGTCGCCATGGCGATATGTCAGCTGTCAGCACAATGGATAGGGAGCTGACAAAAAGAACAGAGGACAGGAAAGTGAAGCCATGAGAGGAAGTTAATTTAAACATGATTCTCATCAGAAGGCCTCTGCCACTACTCATTAACAAGATACTTATATGTGGCAAGGTTGTTGCGGCACGTTCTAAGCCTCTGGTATAAGATGTGTAATTGTGTGTCTACATGCCACACAAGGCTTTACTTTCGGACATAGGGGAGGCGTTATTGACCCCTGTGACATGTTAATTAGCCCTGAGGAAACTCCCGTTTTTTCCAACCGTCCGAGAGTTCAAGAAGAACAAACAATATGACAGGTTCAGTTGTGTGTCATCAGTTGTGGCACAGTATCACTGGCTTTGTTGTGCTGCTGCCCTCGCTGCTTGGTAATGGAACATTAAACAGACCATTTTGTAGTGAATACATTAACATAGAAAATATGTGTATATTTTTTGATGACCAACTTTTATTTTTTTACGTATACAGTATATCTAAATGAGAAATATGCTAATAAAGAAAAAAAAAATTGGTAAAATAGACTAATTTCTGAGAAAGAAAAAAAATTAAATAAATAATGTAAATATTACCCAGGGTGTTTTTAGCTTGTTTATTTTAAAAATATTTTAAACTTTTTTTTTCTTTTTACATTTAGCCACTAATAATTGTACTAATGACTTTTCTCTTTTTTTATTGTATTATAAAAGTGAAGAAAAAAAATCTAAAAATGGATTTGAAAGTAGACCAGACTAGAATTAATCTAAAATAGTGCAAACATTAGTATAATAAAAGTGTGCTTTGAAAGTTATTTTAATTAAAAAAAAAAAAGAAATTCTCAGAATATTCATGAAAAAAAAAAATCACCAATAGCAATGCACTTGAAGACCTGTAGATGGCAGTAGTGACTTATAAATCTTTGCATAGAGCTGCAGTTCTATTCAAAATCCACACACATTAATCATACTGCATTTTATTAAAGTGTCAATCATTTCTGTATGACAAGATTGATATTCTTTGAACTGTTTAGGCAGAAAGTATGAATGCTCTGAAGGTATAACCCATAGTTCAAAAAATCTCAGTCAACTGTCTAAATGACCTAACTACCAGTTCTGAACTTAAGTATATGCCACTGGGCTTTGCATGTTGGGCTCACATGGTTCTTTAACCTGTATGTGACATGGCGCCTGGAGGCATTTGAAAGATTTTAATTGTGTTGTTAACTTCGAAACGACTTATCATAAAGCTATTTTGGATATGTCAGTCATAAGTTCAAAAGGGAAGCTCAAGTCAGATGTAGAACCAGTTTGATAAGTTGTTACAAGGTTCTTGGCTGAAGTAATATGTGCCAGCATTGTGTCTGGGAAGTGGGGTTAACACTTTGAACTTTTTATTTGCCTGGTATTTAATATTACTCATTATTTCACATCTTTTGTCTTCCCTTTATCCTTTTTTTTTTCCATCCTTCAAACAGTATAACCAATGAGGCAGGTGCTTCCATCTATAGTGTGAGTCCTGAGGCGGTCAAAGAGATGCCAGATTTGGACCCAAACCTTAGAAGTGCAGGTATGTCCAGCATTCAGTCTGTTTTGATTTTATCTGTAGGTGATTAGACAAGTGTTTGATTGGGTATGTGCTTGTTCAGGTCAAGCCATTAAAGTTACTCGTGTGTGAACAGTTTGTACACTACCTTTTTTCATTACTGTCAAAATGGTGAAACGTGTGAAGGGTCTTCACAATATTTCAGAGCTCATTATGATGATGTGTAATGAACAACATAAATCATAAAGTTTCTTGTTCGTGACATTATATTCATAGATTAAATAAGAATGAAGTTTGTTAGTGAGTTTTCCCCCAATAAACCATACAACTCAAATAAAAAAAATGTACAGAATAGCCTTTTATGACAGGTAGTTGTTGAAATTGGTCCTACAGGACAAATTTCTTATTACAATGAGGATTATTATTATTATTATTATCTATATTTAGAGAAGTCTAACAATATCCCTACATATTTAAACTTTATTTCTAATTTATTTGTTTTTAACTTAAAACTGTAAATTTGTGGGATTCTGTTTGGGTTCTTTTATGATTTTTCTTGTTTCTCAAACTTCCTTTGACTTCACCTCACCTAGCTTTCCACTCTTTCCACAACCATCATGGCTACACAGTGATATGTGTTTGATCAAAGGGAAATAAATGCCGTCATTTTGAGATTAAAATTGGTACTTACACAAACAGTCAACACAGCACTGTTATAAAAGCAGGTTGCAAACAATTATTGTTGTAACTAAATTGTGATCAAAAACCCAGAGATAAACTTGTGACAAATAAATGTTTGATTTGATGATTATCTGGCAATGGGACTTCTGATTTAACCTAGCTTTACTCATCAGTTAGCAGACATTCAGCTTTCTACTGCAAGGAGTACACAACCTGGGAATAAACACCAAAACTTTACAACACTTTTTTTTAAGTAGCAAAAGTTTTAACAGTGATCACAGTAAACAATGTATAATTTTAAGTCCGTCGCCTCATAAATTCTTCTTTTGGTTCTCAGAATTTGTGTTGAATTGAGTTTCCTTTTTCCTCTGTGCAGCCCAGCCTGTATCGACTTCGTACGCTTTTAATGATTTAAACATGATTTTATCGCCAACAATGCTTGTTGCATGTCACACTGTGCAGCTTGTAGTGAACTGAAGATCGATAAGATGAACAGTGGGTATTACTTTCCATATATTACTAACATCCCAGAAAACAACATGCATTGAGTTGTGGAGAACAAATGTTTCTAACAGACTTCCTATTCAACAACCATAAATCAAGCTAGCCAGGATTATTCCCTATACTTGGTTTCTTTGGTCAGCAAAACTGAGAGCCATATTTATATTCTTGACTAAAACCATGGAAATCATCAGCTATACACTAAAGTTCATGCTCAGTAATCCAGGAAAAAATCCAACAATGTTCAGTCAGGTCATCTGGACGGTTTCTTTTTTCTTTTTGAGGCATTTCGTCCTGCATCCAAAGGACTTCTTCAGTCTGAGGAGCCACCAAACAAGCAACACACTCCCATAGTGGAAAAACAAAGTTTGCTGGTGATAATGCTAATTACCTGGATTACCTGGATTATTGAGCATGAACTTTGGTGTTATGAACCACTTTGGCATGATTGCCTCTGAGGAGTGGACGGGGGAGAGGGCGGATGCCGGAGGCCATCTTATCACCAGTAAACTGTTTTTATCCACTCTCGGAGTGTGCTGCTTGTGGGACTCAGTTTGTTTGGTGGCTCCTCAGACTGAAGAAGCCCTTTGGATGAAGGATTAAAGTCTCCAATTAATTTTTTTAAATTAATTAATTAATTAAAAAAAATAAACCGTCCAGATGACCTGACTGAACATTGTTGCATCAGCTACACAGTATCCATAAAAACAGAAGGGAGGTGTTGGCCCATGCGTTTTTTACCATTTAAAGTCCAAAGACATTGTTCAAGTGTAGGACCAATTTGCAAAATGGCAAAACAGGAGGCAGGTGGATTAAACAAATTAACTTTAACAACCAAACAGGGTGTGGATTAGGGAATCAAGATAACATTTATATCCTAAACGTAAGACATGCAGCATGAGGATCATAGACAAAAGGTAAACATAATAATACAGAAAGAAAAAACAAGGACTTGATATTCTGGCTCTGGTAATCAACTGAAAAAAATAACTGGTGTGAACTAAAGGTGTAACTGGAAACAAAAACAACAGAAAAAACTAATAGAAAGGGTTTAACAAAAAAAAAAAAAGTGAGAAGTAATTAGAATTCAGATAAAGAAAGCCAGATTATTGTAGGGCAATATAGGTTCAACCTATAAATCTGTGTAAACCGATAAGTAATTAAAACGTGAAATAATAGAAATCATAAATGCAAACTCAACACGTTTCACCATTTAACTTCTAGCGTTGTTTATTTAAATTGTAATGTACCATGTTATATGGTGCAACTGTCACAGGGTTTACTTTTAGAAATAAGGAACACTTAGTTTATGGCAGGTAAACCAATCTGCATATCTGTGAACATTTGTCAAATTAAAATAAAAGCAGCACACCAACGAATGCTTAACAAAACGCTGCGCATGTTTTCAGTGTGTCCGAGCAGGTTCCTCATCTCTGCTGTACATTGCCTCGTAAACTTTTAATAAATGCCGGAGAGTTATGCTACTTTTCCTTTTACAAAACCGCTCCTTCTAGAAGGAACTGGGCGGAGTAGAGAGACAGGATAGATGGAAAGAGTATTTGGAGAGTTCTGGTGGCGTACTGAGCAAGGTTAAGGCTGAAACTTCATCCCTGTCTAAATATTATCTCAGCAGCAGCCTCCTGCCGCAGCCAGAAGAAAGACAAGAGCCATTGATTCCAGATCAACTCTCCTTACTACTTCCCATCCTCCTCGTTCTCTTTGTCTTTTTTGCCACAAAGATATGAATCTGACACATCATGCTGAATTACACCCATGCTAACCTCAGAATTTCAAACATGTATTTAGTGCGTAGTACTTATAAAACGTTTGTGAGAAGTTCTATAAAGAGACAAGATTAGTGGCAAAAATATTGGTGTATAATTTTGATCAATCATATTGTGTTTTTAAAGCACAAGTTTCTGGTCTGTTTTGTTTTTGTTCAGTATTTTTATTTGATAGACCTCAAATGAAAGAGGGAATTGAATACCTTAGTCTAACCTTTTGGGTTTGTGGTCATTCAGTAATTTATTTAATAAAACACATTACAGTTTAGGACGTTTGCTTTGTTACAAGTTAGAATCAGAACTAAACTATGGATTTATTTTTCCCTTCTTTTGTATTATTTCATTCTTAAGTGTATTTAATTATTATCCTTTCTGCGTCCTGCCTATGTAATCATCATAAATGCATTTTTTTATTTATAGTTGCAAGCTAAAACCTAAAAAGCTACTCTAATTGTGTTTGTGCAGATTGTATGTTTGTGTGCTACATTAGATCTTCTGTGCTAGTGGGCACAAGATTAGTTAAATCTGTGTTTTTTAGGTTCATGGTTTATCATGATGCTAAATAACATCTGCAGAGTCTTGTGTTAAATGGCAGCTTTAATTAAATATTAGTGGGAGGTGGTGGAATGACAATTAAGTTTGGCCTGCCCTCAGGACAGATCTGCATTATGCAGAAAATTAGCATAATCAGTAATTATAAATAATGCAGTTTTGCATATTCAGTTGTATTACAAGTATATAAAATGCACAAATGTTTGCATCTCATTTGTCACAAAAATAACTCTTGTGTGTGCGTGTGTGTGTGTGTGCACACAAACAGTGTCTATTGGAAGACGTGTCCAAGATCCCCTGGCTGAACTGGTGAAGATTGATCCGAAACACATAGGCATTGGAACATATCAGGTAACTACGTTTTTTCATCTTTTTTTGTTTTGTTTCAACTATATATTGGCCTTAAAACTGCAAATACATTATAGTTTTTGGTTTGTGAGGAGATTTTGAAAGGAGTCTCCCAGTAAATATTGGTAGTTTTTAACAAAAATGCAGCTTTTTTATTTTATTTTAAACCACTAAGTATTTCTTTGTGCTTAGCAAAAACAGTGATTGGTATTTTTTGTTCAGTTCAATATTATTGTTTTGCTGGTAATTTACCTGCCTGCACGATAACATTTTGCCATGTTATACTTTTTATTTCTTGCATATTCAGAAAAGCAACAATTTGGTTGGTGTACGAGGAGGAATGTATAAAGTATAAAGTTTATTCATTTTAAAAAAACAAAACAAAACAATTCCATAAACTATATAAAAAATACAAGAGATTTAAAATGAAAGGCAGCAGAAAGAAGAAAAAAAATCTTATTATATCCATGGAATATCCAGGAATGTAAGAACACTGTAGAGCAGGGGTATTCAACTGGTGGCCCGGGGGCCAAATCAGCCCCACGGGTGTGCTCAGTTCGGCCCAACAATCAGTTCATTTTTAATAAAACTAGATTTTAAACCATAAAACACACTTACTTAATAACAATAACTGCTGGATGTCCGGCCCCTGAGCTCTTGGCTTTCAGTAACTGTGGCCTCCTGAGCAATTTAGTTGAAATTAAATGTTGGAGAGAGATTGCTTGTAGGGATGGAGTTAAACTTGGTTTTCAACAGATGATGCTAAAGGTGACTAATTCACTTCATGGTGCATATGTTGGCTTGTGATTATAGCTATTTTTCCATTTATGTTTAAGTGTGCATGCAGATGAAGCAATGTTAAATGAAGTGTTGAATTTGAACACGCTGCCTGTCATTGTGCGGGGAAGTAAGATAAACATCAAAATCAGGTTCCTACTTTTTGCATCAGCAGTGAATTCAGAATTATTCTCATTGCAAGGCAGGTAAGAAAATGGACAAGAATGGGGAAAAATACAGATAGAGTTAGGATGAAAAGTGAATAAACATTCAGGGTAAATTGTTTGACTGCCAGCTATATAATTAAATAGATATTGATTTACTTAATGCTGAAAGTAAAATGAACTTTTACTATCTAACTACACCAGGTACTGTGGAGTGGCTGAAGCTCAGGTGTTGTTCTCTCAAGCGTAGAGCAAAAATGGCAGAATTCCTGTTCTTGAGGATGTGAAGCTCATTTAACGTTTGAGCTTTGAAGCGAGAACTGAGCTGCGTGACAGCGAGGCAAATCCATTGTTGGAAAAATAGCAAAGTATCCATCTTCAGAAGTTAGAAAGTCCTTGGCTTTTTGTTTGATGAATGTCAACTAAACATGAAACAAAACTGATATCTAATGACTTTATTATTCAATTAGAATTCTGACAAATTGAGCTATGGTTAAAAAAAAGTATCAATTCCTTTGGGACTGAAGTGACTCCATTTAACACTGTGAGCACTCACTACTGACAGTTGGCACTTGTATCATATTCTTGTGTCGTTCAGTGTGCGCTCTAGCATATCCTCAAACAAGACACTATATACTTTGGTCAATATTTGATTAATATTGACTACAGTATCAATTTTAACCAAATATTGAACAGTCAATATTTGATCTTTTTACTTTCCAAATCTTTTTTTTTAATAATTGGGTGAACTTTGGGAGAGCACAAGCCATTTATATTTGATGATGTTGGACTTTGTTTTACTGTAGAGAAAGAAAAAGAAAAATTAAACACAGAAAACGTAAAACTGCAGAAGCTTTCAGTGAGAGAGGGAGAAATGTCGGCTGTACCCTAACAAAAGGGAATAAGGAAAAGATTTGGCTGATAACGGACATTGGAGAGTGAAAGGAGCAGGTCTTATTGTGCAAGTGCTTGTGTGTGTTGCTGAGCGTGTTAGGTCACAGGCTCTTGTCTCTCATCACGTTCTGCTGGGCCCTCCTGGGGTGTCCATGGTTCTGCACTTCTCTCTCTCAGATCATGTGACTAGGTCAACAAATGATAATATAACAGAGTAAATAAACTCTGAGTGCTGACAGATATAAGATGGGACATCAGTTTGACCAGCATGTGAGCTCACACACACTCGTGCACACTTTCTTAACCACCCTTTAACCTCTCAGAGTTAAAGGGTGCGTAGCGTGCTCAATTGCATCTGTTTATGTATGCATAAGTGTCTTGTGTGAATGTGTATGAGTGAGAAGAGTGAGCTCATGTTCTTGGTGTGTGTGTGATTTATGGTATTTTGAGGTTTCTGAAAGTTTATTTCTATTAGACCCAAAAAGCACAAGGGCAGATGTAACTCTATACAGCTGGCACAGCAGGCGCTCCCCTTCTCTCTCCCTCTGCTGACTCAATGAGTGACAGCTCTGAGAGAAAGGCGGAAATGAGCTGAGGGCAAAAAAAGTGAAGCCCATTAAAATCGCATTGGACATAAGTATTGGTTTGGGAACATGGTTTTTACTACAGCACCGGCAATCGACAAGTTTTGCAGGATGCCGGTGTTGAAGCAGGAAAGTGTGAATCCAAACCTAATGTTATTCTTTCTATCAATAAGGATCTTTACAGGCATTTGCATTCGTGACATGTGCATTTAAAAGACTACTTTAGATTGAGGGCACTTAAACTGACAAGTATCCAGCAGTCTTGTCTTTCAATAATTAGCGACTTAACAGGAGTGACCTTTTAGACAAATCCCTCTCACTCATTTTTGATTTTTGCTATGGCCTGTTAACAGCTCGGCAAGCCCCACAGCTGTGAAACTAACTGCTACTGAAAAATACACACAAAGGCACTCACTGCTGCTTAAGAAAACATCGCCCACCAACCGGATATTAAAGAAACTGTCACTCTTTCCCTCAACTCTCACCTATTCTTCTTCTTCCAGTCCTGCTTTTTGCATGTTTTTTCTTGTCCAATGGCTGCTCTTTATTTGCCTTCTATGACGTGAACTACGGCTGAGAGTTTTTTCTTTATTGTACAAAAACAATTTAATGGGAACATCCAAGCACATCTTTACTATAATTTTTTTTTTCCCAGAAAAGAATAATAAACTGTGGTGAAACCAGTTCTGTTGAAAGTATGTAAACACTTTAAAGCTAATTCAGAGTCGCTTAGAGCCTCTGCTTTTGTTTTTTTTACTCCAATGAAATTATGTGCACAGTCATGTCATTCATGTTAAATCACTTGAACACAAAATATACAGTTGTTAGCACGGCAGACATGGAGGCTGTGTTATTAGAAAAGTTTAATTTGTTTCATACAGCAAACTTTGTTTGAACAACAGGTATTTAGAAGTATAAAGAAAAGTTTTCTTTGAGCTGGATTGCAAATGTTCAAGTGGCAAAATAAGTGATAAAACAGACAAGTTTTTCTACGGTGATTGTTATATTGGTTATTAAGGTAAATATATATTCAATGGTTTTAAATATCTGTAAATAAAAAAAAACTGTTGGCCAAGGAAATGTAAATATTAGCACATTTAGCAGTTTGGATTTTTTTTTTTTTTTTAAACAAAAGCTTTCAGATATGAATGAAGGAATTTTATGTTTGCTCAAATAACATAATATGCATGTTGCTAACCCAGTCGTGATAAGGCTGAGGTTTGGCAAGCAGCAGGGGTTTTCCATCTGACAGTTACAAGCTTATTTCCACCCAAACAAGTCAGTAGCAAAGCACAATCTTTAGGGCACATTTGCATAGACTTGAAAAGAGTTGTGTGAGTGACGGCACGTTCACACCGAGGTCACAATCCTGTCCTATCATTCAGTTTTGAGCGGCAGTGCCTTGAGGAGAGACAGGAGCCGACGTAACAGAGGGTGGAAAGAAAAGTGAGAAATGAAGGCTAAATGGTAACTGATAGTTCCTGCTTTGACTCAATGAGGCGTGAGAAAAAAAAATTACTAAAATATAAGTTGTAGAAGCTGCCACACGCAAACTAAAAGTATTTAAAAATTTTTCTTGTGATTTGTCAAAACAAGATGTTGAGCTTGTTTTAGTAAGCTTGTGAGAAGAGTTAATCATTTATCTTTGCCTTTTTTTGTGTGTGTGAATTTACACACTGGTGACATCAATCCACAAGTTACTACAGTTTCACTCACTTTTGTCCAGCTACAGTTTTTAGTGCTGAACAATTTATAACTCAGGTTAGAAGATTTGTTTTACAGATAAGATATTCAGATCAGTTATATTTGTTGTCACGGTTTAAACATACAAGGACATTACTGAAGAGGTTGAAGGGCAAAGTGCATTACCATCAGAAACTTTTAAGATTAGCAAATAGGGATGCAAGATATTATCGTCATGGTATCGGTTTTGGCCGATATTAGCGATAAAGTTAAATATCGGACATCTGCCATTCATCAAAATAACTCA